CTTTTCAATCTTTGTTTCAGTGTTTTGCGATTAAACGTTCTCAGGTGCAGCTGTCAGAAATGAAGCCGAAACGTAACGTGAGTTCGATGCTTGATATCATTTGCCATCAGGTTAACGCAGACCACCGTAGCAGAGACCCCCGCCCCCCCCTCTCCGGCACCCCCAGCACAGCGCACTCAGTACCACCTCTGCTGTTCTGCACCATTAACACACACACACACACACACACACTGTTCTCAGTGTTCCAACTGTGCTCAACGGTAAAATTCTCTCTGATTTCTCTCAATCTTTCAACTTTGCAGACACCCCCCCCCCCTCGCCTATGTAAAGGGAAAGCGTGCGAGCGGTTAACAGCCCCCCCCCCCCCCCTCCCCGTTCCTTGTCAAGTCGACGCTTTGATCTGTCTTCAGCGTGTCAGCTGGCGGCCATGTTTGTTTGCCTGGCGTGGGAGGCTACCTGTGTAATTACCTCTAACGAAGTGACTTGTTGTGATCCGGCCTGAAATCGAACCCGCGGCCCCGTGGATAAAGATGTCTGAGGTTACTTGGGGGGGGGGGGGTTGGAGGGCTGCGACTGGTTAAGCAGTTTCAGGGGTGAAGAAGGTTTAAAGCTTTTGAGGAAGTTTACGCCGCGAGGAGCAAAATGTCATTTTTTTTCTTTTTTTCTTCGCCTCCGCCCACAGCCTCACCTTCTAGTTCGCTTCTCCCTCCCCTCATCTCCCTCTTTACCGCTCACAAATATACCGTACACACACACACACACACACACACACACACACACACACTCCTGCTCCTGTGAATCATTTAAGCCCTGGCAGCCGTTCAAGAACAACCTCAAAGAGAGCGTTGTTGGCAGGAGGCTGCAGCACTTCACCTCTCCGTAAAGGTTAGCGAGAACACAATGTGTTCCTCTTCTGCTGCGTCCTCTCTCTCTCTCTCCCCCTCTCTCTCTCTCTCTCTACCTCTCTCTCTCCTCACTCTCACTTATCCCCTCAGTCCGTCCTGTGCTCTTTCCTTCCCCCGTCACCTCATCTCTCGCCTTCTCTTCTCTTTTCAGTTTGTTTCTGTTACTTCCGCTCGCAGTGGTTGATTTCTGGGGATTTTACATTTAATCGACACGCATGCTTACTGTATTTTTCACTTCATGCACCAAAGGGTCGAAGCAGAGTCCGCAAACAAGTTTATAATTGTTTTGTTTTTTGTTAAAGGAAGTAATAAAAAGCGGTTGAAAGTGAAGCGTGCGAGTTATTTTCTTGTTTCTTTCTGGGTTTATTTTGTTTGTTTTGTTATATAATCTTTCCAAAAGATTTAAAGTGCATGCATGATTTCCTAAAGCCGAATTCGGGGCCTTGTTGTTATTTTTTGAATGGACTACACGTCCGTGTCCGAGGAGTTCCTGCAGGCCGTGCAGCTCCATAAGCTTCCTGCAGCCGATAACAAACGTAAACAAGCCGGGCCACACAGATGTAAAGAAACACACATCACCCTCTGCACCCGGAGCTAATGACGGGGACGGTAGGTGGTGACGGGGCGGGGGGGGGTCACGCACAATGATGGACATGGACAGCGAACCGTTAAACACCCGCCCGACGTCGCCCTTAATAAGACTTTTTATTCTAAGCATATAAACGCACACAAATAAGTGAGAATACCCGTGTTCATGCCCCCCCCCTCCACCAATCCTCATCACTATCCCTTCCCAAGACCTCAATCCACGAAGGGTAAAGCAGTGGGGTGGAATCTGGTGTTCGTTGTTTATTTGCTCTGTGTCTCTCTTCTCTCTCAGAGGAAAGGAGCCATGTTGGAGACGCTGCATGAGGGCTGAGGGTACATCCTTCTTCTTCTTCTTCTTCTTCTTCCTCTCCACCTCATCCCTTCAACCCCCCCCCCCCACACACCCCCACCACGACTACCAAACTCTCCTCAACGCTCCAATGAATGAACCATTGTTCCATTTAAATGCTCAATTAATCTCACTCACTTTCATCAAGGACTTTTATTTGGATATATTAACTTCTTATTAACTTATCATTTGTACAGGATAGTAATTATTATAGGAAGTAGATTTAGACATCCCACTCCGGCTATAAATAAAAATTTAAAAAAGTATTATAATCACAATTGTTTGTTTTAATAGAGCTGCATTGGCATTATTGCGTTTGTTTGTGCAATTAATAAAAATCCTCCTTTGATGATCATAACATAATGATGGCGATAATAACAAATGGACGGAATAAATTATTAAATTATAAATTGTTGCTCTCTTACCGGTTCGCTGTCACTGGAGCCCGACTGAAGGCTCTCCTTCCCTGGGTTAGGGGGGGAGGGGGGGGGGGGTCCCGGTCCCGACCTGACCCGGTGGATCCGTCCGCCGCATTCCACGCGCACGCGCTATCATAAACATCCTAGTCCCGAACCCGCGGGGGCAGGAAGCGCACGAGGACAGGAATTCCAACTCTTTCACATGACATCAGGTCCAGTGTGGGCTCCTCGGTCCGGCCCGACGGACGCGCGGACACAATGTCACACCCGACGTGCGCAGGAACGCGAAGGCGCGTTGTTCAGGAGGCGCGGGAGAAGTTTGATCCTCTTTTTTTTTTTTTTGTTAATTTGGAGCGATTATTTGACACGTCTTGGAGAATTTAGAGGATGTAGATTTATCAAAGACCGGGAGAACGTTCCCTGCGATCATCTCCAGCCACCGCCCCGCTGCTTCAGTCTAAATACACCGAAAGGAAAAGCTTCACTGCAAGTAGGAAATCAAGAATAACTACATATGTCGTTTTTACCACGGCGAGAATATTATAATGAATTGTCGTGAAACAAACGGTGGGTGCGGGACACATTTCCATCCAAGGGCCCACATCCCCCTGTGGCACACTGAGCACATTCCAGCTATTACCTGCAGCCCGGAGCCGCTTTGTCCTCCTCCGTCTATTTGTTTGATTAATCGAATATTTGTTTATTGCCTAAAACAAAAGACCCCGCCGAGGAGACGGAGCCCGTCCGTTAAGTCGACATTCCTCGGCGCCTCACTGAAGCCGACCGGCGGTTCGAGTTTCAGGCTCCTTGTTGTGTTTACGGATCGTCCACATGCGACTTTCTCTTGCTGCTTTTGTTGTTGTTGTGACGCGACGCGCGTGCACCGCGGCATCTCACGCGCGGGGCGGTGGCAGGTAATGAAGGAGGAGGAGCCGGGGGTGGGGATGGGTGGGGGTGGGTGGGGGTGGGTGGGGGGGGGGCATGCAGACACCGTCAGGTACAAAGCACAGTGAGTCACGTGACGCTCGGTTTTAGGCCCCGTTGTTCACGAACGCGTTATTGATGATGTTATTTTTGACTCGTTGTTACCTTCGTTCTACAGACTGAGAGCACGCGGTGGCTTCGCGGCCCGTTGTGATTAATTTAAGTTAAATAAAGTTAATTGTGACCTTTTTCACTCCGAATGTGGCTGCTGCCTCACTGAATGATTTAGCTCTCTGCAAATCGAGAAAGATTATACATTGACGTTTATTTATAACAATTTAAATCCCTTTATTGTTATATTTAGAAATATTGTATTACTTTAATCCAGATTATGATAATCACGCAAACAGATATGACATTTAAACGTGCCGCTCTGGAAGGTCAGAGAAGAAGACCACAAACCTTCTCTCTGCACCAATAAAAGACTCACCATGGGGTGTAGACTTATGCCAAGGGGCTAATTTGTGGTCTACTGCTTGATTAACCTTGTTTTTCTGTTTTTGACAAATTTAGTTGCAAACCACCGTAACAATGATTTTGTCCAATACAAACAAACGGGTCTCTCTAGTCCAACCAACTCTAATGTCCACGTGTCTTCTGTCATGAACAAGCATGGAACGACGCAATATTTTTATAATTGCTCCAAAATTATTTTTTAATCATTTTTCCACAAATTCCTGGTTTTCCTCGTGTGTCGTTTAACAGCTGCGTTGATTCACGATGTGATGCTGCAGCCGAGACATCTATATTTGCAGAACAGCGGTGTTAATATTCCCGGTTAAAACGCGCTCCGTTTTATGAAGGAAAAATACTTTTACTTTTTTTAAAAACACCGCGAAAGAAGAACCGACGCGGCGCTGCGGCGCTCGGAGGCGCCAGCGTGCGTTAATTGCGCGATGAGAGACGGTTTGGCTCTCGGCGCGGTTCAGCTGCTGCTGCTGCACCGGGTGACGGGTGATGACACACACGCCAATGCTGCTCCACCTGCACCGACTCCCAGGGCACGGAAACACAGGGAGAGCCGAGGGGACCCTCATGGGTGGCCCCCGGAGAAATGTATACCTCCATCTGCGTGCACGGCCACCCCACCTCCCCCGCGCGAGATCATTAAGCAGCACTATCTATCCAGAATGTCCGCGGGTTTTTTTTCTTCTTCTTAAAGCCGGGATCGCAAATGTGCGGTCTTCGGTGTCCGTGAAGAGGAAGTGGGAGCTCCGTTTGACTACACGTCAGTTGTGGAAACAACTGTTAGTCCACTTTACATTTAACATATGATACATCCTAAAATACAACCGCCAAACAATTTGAAAGATGCATATTTCCTGATATTGGGTGATATTTTAGTGGAGCAAGCAAACTATCACAACAATAATCAGACCAGTCAATACATTCTCTCTTTATTTATTAAAAGGCTTATTTGCTTTGCAGCTCAATTGTAATGTTTGTCTAATGGCCTTGTATGCATTTTAATTTAGATAAATATTGAAATGATACAGTTCCAGCACCGAACGTTTCTCACTGGCTTTGTTTATCCCAAACTACTTTTAATAAGTGTAAAAATAAATACAAAATCCAACAGAGAAGCATTTAATTCACTGTAGGCGGAACTCAAACACGCACAGGGCAACGACGCACGACGTCGCGTTGGAGTCCGACCAGTGAACGTGAAAAAAAAAAAAAAAAAAAAGAAAGAAAGAAAGGGGAGGAGAGGGTTGGGCTTACTGGCTCGCAACCCACAACCTGGGTTGCGCCTTCACCAGAAACCAGTTTAGAGAAATCCTGGTTGAAGAGAGAGAGAGAGAGAGAGAGAGAGAGAGAGAGGAAGGTCTGGTGCATGTCACCGTCTGAGCCGCAAAATAAAGCGCTCTCGCCGTGCGCAGTTTTGGAAGACAGCTTTGACTCCGCGGTGCGTCCCGAGGTTCCGCAACGCAATCATTGCCCGCTGCACACCGAGCTCACCAGCGCCGTACACGCGTTTGCGTTTAACTCCTCGTTTTGGACTTTGGGCTTTGTTTTGGCGCGCGCAATGATGGCCACTTACCAGAACCCGGAGGACGACGCAATGACCCTGATGATCCACGACAGCAACGCCGCGAAGGAGAAGGAGCGACCCAAAGAGGAGCCGGTGCAGGAGAAGGTCCCGGAGAAAGCGGACCCGTCCCAGAAGCCGCCGTACTCCTACGTCGCCCTCATCGCCATGGCGATCCGGGAGAGCTCCGAGAAGCGGCTCACTCTGTCCGGTATTTACCAGTACATCATCACCAAGTTCCCCTTTTACGAGAAAAACAAAAAGGGTTGGCAGAACAGCATCAGGCACAACCTGAGTCTCAACGAATGCTTCATTAAGGTCCCGCGGGAGGGCGGCGGGGAGAGAAAGGGCAACTACTGGACACTCGACGCGGCCTGCGAGGACATGTTCGAGAAGGGGAACTACAGGAGACGGCGCCGGATGAAGCGGCCGTTCAGACCTCCGCCGACGCACTTCCAGCCGGGCAAGTCGTTGTTCGGGGGAGACGGCTACGGCTACCTGCCCCCGCCCAAGTACCTGCAGTCCAGCTTCATGAACAACTCGTGGTCGCTAGGCCAGCCGCCCGCCCCGATGCCCTACACGTCCTGTCAGATGGGCGGCGGCAACGTGAGTCCGGTGAACGTGAAGGGGCTGTCGGCGCCGTCCTCGTACAACCCTTACTCCCGGGTGCAGAGCATGGCGCTCCCCGGCATGGTGAACTCTTACAACGGCATGGGTCACCATCACCACCCCGCGCACCCCCACCACTCCCAGCAGCTGAGCCCGGCCACGGCGGCCCCGCCTCCGGTCTCCTCCGGCAACGGAGCGGGCCTCCAGTTCGCTTGCTCCCGTCAGCCGGCGGAGCTCTCGATGATGCACTGCTCTTACTGGGAACACGAGACCAAACACTCGGCGCTACACACGAGGATTGATATTTGAAGTTTACCGAAATTGTCTCCGTTTAAAAAAAAAAAAGAATTAAAAAAAATAATGAGGAGTCTCGAGAGGAAGAAGAGTAAATTCCCGTGATTTCAAAAACAGAACCGAGAGTATTTTTTTTTGTTCTCTGATGGGGACCGTTCTCGACGAGCGTGCGTTGGTCCAGCTGACATCCGTGCGTGCCGATGGAGATTTACGCGCTATCGATGTGGAAAGAGTTTTGCTGGATGGAATCGGGGGGGGGGGGGGAGAAAGAAGTCCCCGGGACGCACCGGGTAGCACAACCTCTGGGAGCCATTTCGTGCGCGCCTGCATTAATCTCGGACTGATGGCCGTAGCTCGGCAGTGTTGTCACACGTGTGCCTTTTGATGAAAACGTGCATTTTCACGGGCACGTACATTGCTGACATCGCCGACGCTGTGTCTTTTTTCGCATGCGTAATGATTTCTCTCAGCTTTACGCACGGCTTATCCCGACTGTTGCCAAATGAAACGGGGACATGAAATGACCTAATTATGTCAGTGCTTTTAGTGTGTTATTGAATCAGAGCTCAATTTGGCCCTCTTAACTTGCACTGAGCAAGGCCTGCACGGCGAAACCTCACCTGCTGCGTGAACTCTGTTGGGTTAAAGGGTGAACGTGTGGGGAGAGATCCAGACCGCCAGCAATACAATTCAGGGTTTTCTCATTCAATTCATTGATCCCACGTGTATGATATATATAAGACGCCAGCCAGTGCCAGGTTTTTGTTAATCTTTGTGATTAGTATTATTATTTTTATTTTTTTATAAACGTGATTAGCTTTATTGTCTCATTCATGTTGGGGCCATGTTTCGTTTTAATTAGCACTTTTCATTCTTTTCTAGGTTTGTGAATTTCTTAATAAACTTGTATTTCTTAAAGTAAAAAAGTGGTCATGAAACAATGTTTTTATGCTTTAGGCTGTGATAACCGCCAAGCAGCATCCCACAACCCCGTGAGGGCGATGCATAAAAAAAGTACGTTATTCTTAACTTAATATTCTTTGCAGTTGGTTCCGAACTGCCAAAAAAATAATAATCTCACAGTAATCCATCGTGGAGGGCTTTGATATTTGTATCTGCATTTATTCTTCTGATAAAGTCCAAGCGTCTCTTGGAAAAATTATTGTACATGTTTAATCAGTAGCTCGTTTATTCCAATTATTGCCACTTTGTTTTATTTCAACTTTGGGATTACATGGAAATACAACTTCGAATTAAAAAAATAACAATAATAACACAAAATTAAGAATAGAAATATAATAATAATAATGATGGATAATAAAGTAGTTAATAATAAGTGTGCATTAGCAGCGACATTGATAATTAGTGTCTGTTTTAGTTATTTATTTTAGTTATTTATGTTCTACAAAAGGCTACAAAAACATGCCGTATGCATCATTCATAAATAGGTATTTTTTCTTTAACCGTCCTATATGATCACAAGATGTTTATTTTTTTCTCCAATCAATATTGAATATAATTGGTAATAACTATAACATGAATCCGGCTGTGGTCGTCGGGCTCAGTGGTTTAATCGTTTTTTTAACGGCTCACTTTCGCTAAACTTAACTAAAGAAATAACTAAAAACACACATGTCTGACAATTATATATAACACCTTTTCTTCAATCCAAAGTATTTTGTACTTCTCAATGTAATTGATGAATTCATTAACGCTATTTTCATAAATACAACAACAAGAAGCAGCAGCGGCAGCACTATTAAAACACTTTCCATATCATGAAGTAATATCAAGTATTTTAAAGGATTCTTTCTTGAGTTTGAGTGACGCTAAACAGACGATTTTAAAACGTTAAAGCCGGTAACCTGCCGCAAAATAAAACAGATCAGATCAACAGTGAAGAGTAATACAATCGTCAATGCAGAGCCGTCACCACGTCGCAATATACAAGGAGACATCACAAACACGCACATGAACAGAAATGGACAGATTTGCTGAAATATGGCCGTCAGGAGACGCCTTTAATCCAAAGACAGACCCGACCCGCCGTCTGCTGCTCACTTTTACATTTAGGGGCTGCTCTCACAACAATGACACACCGAGTTGATACTGTTTTATTTTATTTTAAGTGTGACCGTTTGTACAGAATATGACTTCATCCAATGCGCCTTTCTTTATTAGATTGGGAGACCAGCGGGGTCTCAGGAGCGCGTCGGCCATGATGCGCCCCAAACACTGACTCATCATCTCTTAAAAACACACACACACACTGTTCACGTGATGTCAATGGGCCGACGATTTGGAGAAATTGTGGAATATTAATGAGGTTTGCGAACCGTCGTTTCAGAATCCCGTCTTATTTGCTGCAGTGGTATTTTATTTGACACGAAACACCATTTGAAATGTTTCAGTGCGTGTGCGTGTGATACACAAGTCTGCAGAGTTCAAGATTTCTACCCTTTAAAACGGCTCCACTTAAGTCAAGTAAAGGAGTGTGCAGTAAATACTAATAATACGGGGATTTATTCAAAGGGACTGTCGTAGAAAGAAATATCATACACACTCATTTTTGGAATTCAATTTTTTTTTGTGTAGCCCAAAATCACAAATTTGCCCCAGAGGGCTTTACGATGTGTACACATGAGACATCCTCCCGGGACCCTCATCAGGACAGGAACACCCCCCTTAACAAGGAGGAAAAAAGAAGGCTGAAGGGGAGGAATCCATTTACAGATCATTATGGATACATCACTTCTAATAATTGTTATTATAATTAAGGGATTTGACAGACATATTTAAGTTCCCATTTGTTTAAGTGTGTGTGGAGGGGCCGGGGGGCTGTGTGTGTGTGTGTGTGTGTGTGTGTGTGTGTGTGTGTGTGTGTGTGTGTGTGTGTGTGTGTGTGTTTTGCAAGCCATGCTAAGTCGTTTAATACGAAATAAATCATACATTTAAGGGTTATTTTAGAAAAGTTGATGGATATGAACAATAAAATGTCTCTACAATTAAATTAAAAAATATTGTTCCCGACGTGGCCATAATTTAATAATATATTTTCATAATTCAAAGGACGAGGCTCCCGATCTTTTAGTTTTCACGGCACATGGCGGCCTGTGTTTTAAAGCGAAATAAGAGATTAAAAGACAGAACCGGTTCAGCCATCACAAGATCGGCGTGCAAACACCGCTGGAATATAAACATCTGGATGAATCCAGGCAAAGAGCCGAGGAGCCCCGCGGCCGTCGGGACGGATCGGCTCGTTCCTCACCAGCCGGCGGGGGAGCAGGAACCCGCCACCGGAGCAGCACCGCGACTCCCGTCCGGTGTGCGGTGTGCGGGGGGGGGGGCAGAAATGTAGCTGTGAACGTCCTCTGCTTCCTCACATTAATGTTTTGTAAACAGCGAGCAGATAAGGGCGCGTTTGAAAGGCAAGTGTGTTCTAAACACTCCTCAGAAATAATAAATAGCAGCGTTTTTACAAGAACGTGTGTTTTCGGAGAGCGTCAGCAGCCGCAAACTACGATAGAGAGACGGGATGCGTCGTGTTAATTCATAAATATGACGTTTTCTTTTGCATTTTGATAAAAAAAATAAAAACATGACGTTTAATTAATACATTTACTATTTCCTTAGTCCCAGCTTGGTAATGCGTTATTCGTGGTGAGAGAATTTGCTTAATTTAATTTGTTTAAACCTAGTTTTTCAGGAGACACGTGAAAATACACAAGTGCGCAGTTTCTCTTTTTTAAAACCTCGGGTCCCCCTTCTCCCGGTAAAAAAAAGGCCTGAAAAAAGTGAACGCGTGGGCCGTGTGAGGCAGCAGGTGTGCAGAGGTCTCGAGTGGGGCCGGTGGGCCGCGAACAATGGGCCCGCATACAGGATGTCCCCGGGGCTGACAGAGATAAGGCCCGCCGGGGGTCACGGCTCCAACGGCCCGCTTCGCAAATGTACGCTGGCGATGAGCACGTGGTTTCTAGGAACTATATTTAACCCTCTATTCAAATATTATTTACTACATACGTCATATTTCAACGACCATAGTTGTTTTTGATTCTTTATTTAAAATGCAAACGTTAGGAAGATATATATTGTTTTTAATATACGAGCTTAATAATAGTCATATTTAAGGCCATACTGTGACGACTTCAGCTCCTATACACTCCAGATGCAGGAATAAATGCTGCTGTTCATTTCTCGAAGTGGAAATGTGCGTTTCCGCTTTCGTTCGTCTCTTTCCGGCGCGCGCGGGCTGAGCCACCGTGATTGTGTCCTTTGTTGTGCTCTCAGAGATGACAGATTATAACAAACAAGACGAAGGAGGTCAACGCATTGTGGCGCATGGGGACGCTTTGGCCCCTCGCTGCTGCGACGTCGCACAGACCTGAAGACACACGTACGCATGCGCGCACCAGTTGCGCACACCTGGACTCTGCACTGGCCCCTAACGCGCACGCACGCACGCACGCACGCTCGACGGGGTGCCGGCGATGCGACGCGCGGGTTAGTAGGTTTCCCTCCCCCAGGAAGAAAAAAAAAAACGCTCGCACACAATTGAATTCCTGCCACATGTCGCTGATGTTTGAGCTCATCAGTGCGAGCCCATTGAAAAAGGAGAGTCCGGGGGGGGGCGGGGGTCACCACTGTTTGGTATACATCTGCAGAGATTTGATTCACGGACGGATCCGGCAATTGTTATTATTTTTTCATGTTCCTCTCTCGCATGTTTGTTCTCCCCGCTTGCACAATACGCGCCATTTGCACCCCGCGACTCCAAATAGCGGTGTTTATTTTCAGAGAAGCGTCCTCTGGTGAATCTCCTGCTCGTCTCGGTGATCTACGTGATGTTTTCATCGCGGTCCGCTGATTCCCATCTCGATGACAACGCGCGTGAAACAATAGCCGACAATGCAATAATTCCTTAATATGCCAAAATAGTGACATAATCATTTCTAAATAGGAACTGCGCCGTTTGTTATAGCTGAACCTCTGGTCAACAGTGGGGGGGTCATCAAAATGTCTGGAAGTATAGCAGGACCATAAATACACACGCACGCACCATCTTCTATTCTAGGGGGGAAAGAAATCATCACGCATGTAGTATTGTTTTATAATCGCTGCAGGGTAAACGGAGGTCAGTGCATGATGATTTCTTTATATAAATATGTTAATGTCCATTTTGCAATTATGATCCCGAAGAAAACACACAATGGAGTAATCAGCATCCTGCAGTGGAAACGGCGGAAGTGACCAGTTTAAGCTTTAAAAAGAAGAAAAGGGAAATGCGATGAAAATGTTTCCTCTTTCCTGATTATGAGCAGCAAATTGCTTTGTCGGGTTTGAAGTGCATGGCAGAGTATTTTTTTCTTCCCATTGCTGCGCTGATGGAGTCTATTTATAAAAAAAAAATAAAAAAAACGCCTTTCCTTTTTCTCGCCCTTTTAAAAAACTTCCGCAGGCTTTTGGCAACAAGAAGCTATTAAGCATAACCTCTCTGTTCACATCCAATCAATCAAAGATGAGGCCGAATTCCCAACGCGGTCATTAAGGAGGGAGGAGGGCAGCACCTGTTCTTGTCATACTGTAAGTTATAAATAATAAACCAGACGAACCGTCTTCTGCAGGATACCGAGAGAGAGAGACTCCGAATCACTGCAGAATCTGTAACAGGAATTTGACCTCCTCCGGATGTGAATGCCAAACACTGAGCTTATTTCACCAACAAAACCACCCCAGCAAACGCCCTCTTATTTACAATGAGGGTTCCTCAAATTTCACAACAGCGCTGCAACCCGATGAGGGTACGAATCACACCCACGGACGTAACGACACATCATTCAATTAGTGTTAAGGGATGATTCACTCACACGTGGCCCTCTGTTGTAATAGCCCTCCATCAATTGTGTGCTATTTTATTGGTTGGCGCGCGATGAGGTATTTTATAAAGTAGGCCTCCATTGGCTGGATCGTAGCGAAACAGGAAGTTGACCCCGAGGCCTGACCCCCTCCCCACAAAGCCCCACAAAGTTACAGGTATATTCCTCTCAAGCAATTACATACCTCATGGCAAGGCCTCACAATTAAACAAACGGTGGTATTTTGATATCCATAATCACACGCATTCACATGAGCCGACCCTTTCAAGTTCAACGTGCTTCGCGTTACACGCTCCTCATCTGTGAAGAGATTATTCACAGTGTGGGGGTTGGGGGGGAGGGGGGGCATTTAATCGAATAAGAGGAGCTGTAATGGAAGCATGCTGGACTAAAACGCTGCATTGGGCTGCTCCCTTTGAGCAAATTTCAGACAGTGATAACGCTGTGGGAAAGGGGGGGGGGGCGGGGGTCTTTTTAAAAAGGTGCCCACCAGCAGGTCGGAGCTCATGACTTAGCCTTGTGTCTCATGTGGCGTGAGGAGATTGTTTGAGTAGATTGTTTAAATGCAACATTAAAGGAATAAATACGTTTTTGACAGTGTGGTCGTGACCTGGAGCCCCAGTGGGACTCCTCCGGGCCCCTTAAGGTTTCCATGGTGCCATAACCAGGCGCAGTAGCCAAACAACCCCCACTATCATCTGCCATCGAAAGCAGTCGCATTGGGAATGGCTTTTTCGATTTATTTTTCCAAAGAAGTCCCCCAGATGTACTCACACTAACGGTTATTGTCGGATCTTCACGTGAGATTCCCCCACATAGAAGTGTCCAGTGTGGCTCTCTGCCGCCCCCTGGTGGCGTGAACAAGGCTGCTGCTGTTGTCGACCCGAAATTGAAGATTTTGCAAGAAGTTTATTGGCACAACTATGGCAAAAAGAACCAAAGAATGTCAAACTGATAACTATCAGGTTGACAGAAAATAGATAACTCAGTAAAAAATAAAATAAGCGCCGTTGTTAACGTGTGCTTTTAATCAAAATATGACATATGTGGAAACTGTTGTTGAATTCAATATTTTATAGAGGATATTTTTTAGAGTATATGTGTATTTGTTTTGGTTAACATTATTTAAAAATAATAATAACAATAAAATAATAATAAATGGCCTCGTTTGCCCTTCTGTCTGTTCAAAGCAATAGTTAGAAGTAACCATGACAACCAAAAGTATGTTTTGGTACCTATGCGATGTATTAACTCATTCGAACACCAGGGGGCAGGAACGCTCATCCTTTGACGAGAACGTAGCAACCGTAAAAACGCAGGATTATCTCGAAGGCGTTTTTCATGCTTTTATTTTGGTGACCGACTAAAGGGACGTATTAAGAGTAAACGGCCTCGTGCCGTTAGGAGGCTGTAATGGCCTGAATTGTCATTCTGTTTGTGTTCTTAGGAGGCTCAAAAACATTATGTTTCCGGGTGAAACCACTGCTCATCAGGAATCAGGAATCAGGAAACATTTATTTGCCAAAATAACTCATAACTTAAGTGGTATGTTGGTCAATGGAAGAAAGCCGGCTGAACGCGGCACACCTCAGAGAACCAGCAGACCGGAAACGTAGCCTTCACAATAAAGGCCTCACAGTGTACGAGCAGACACTTTTCTATTGAAAATAGGAATAAAGTCAGACCGTTTAATGTTGCTGTGAATCAATGCATATGTAACCGTATGTTATGTTACAAAATATATTATTATTTGCAAAATGTGTAGGTTCTTCCAATCTATGGGTGACTATTTTAGGTGCACTCGTTTCTTTGCGTGATTTGTATTGAAAACTATTACACAACAATATTAAACTAAACTAGAATAGTTGATATCATGTAAATAAAAATACACGGTGGTTTATTTTGAAGAAGAAAAAGCGTTCACTCTCAGACGTCATAAGTAAGGGGCTTTATTCTGAAATCATTAAGCGGAAGTACTACTTTTTCTTCCGTCTCACTGCCGCGGACTTGGCAGCGGGGGCGGAGGGAAACGCAGCAGCAGAGGTGGAAGTGAGTGATTCACCTTCAGTCCACCTGCGAGGTCTGCGGCTCGATCTCCTCCGACGGCTTAACAGCGACATTCGCGTCCCGCGGGTTCGGACGTCCGCCGAGCTGTCACCACAGAGGGGGGGACCTTAAAGGTGAGTTCCCCTGTTTATCTATTTAATCTGATTATTTAATTTATTTTTTTAGCTTCGTACTTTTTGGTGACTTTTTCCCCCCCGGGTGACTGCGTTCGGTCATCTGCCAACTGACGTTGAACGTCGCGTTGCCTCCGCTGCCCGCATCAAGTGGCGACTCCTTAACGCGGTATTTTCTATCGGAACCACATTTCGACGTGACCCTTTTAAGCGATGTCACCTGGTGGGATCGTTCTATCACTTTGTGCCATGCAAAAAAAAAAAAAAAAAAAAAAACCGTTAAGGCTGGACGGCTTGAGATGGGCGACGTTAATTACCACGGTTCTTTTCACGAATATCCATCGCTGTTCCCGACGTAAAGTTTACCGCGGACATTCCAAGGACCCACGTGGAGTTGTTGAGGGTTCACAAATGGTTCCTTGAGCTCCTCGTTCCAGCTGCACACCGAGAACGTGTCGGGGTTTTTTTTTCTTCCTCCGCCGAGTTTGGTGAACTCTGCAGAGTTCCCGGATGACGCTCGTCCGGTAACGGCGGCGTTGCCTTTTTGGGGGATTGGGGGGGTCAAGAGGGGTCCGGGGGGGTGGAAGGAAGGCCGCTAATTGTTTGTCAAACTCAGCCTGAGACTATTTGTTTTTCTTGCTGCTATTTTAGTTTGCGTGTCCTCTAAAACCTCCTGTTCATTACACAACAATCTCATGTCTTCTCATTGTGTCTCCTGAAAAGTCTTCATGGGATCAGTTTGACCTTTTGTTGGTTGACTCTTGTGCTGGGGGGGGGGGTCCATGTCCGGAACCACCGATCTATTCACCCAAAAGCAGCCTGGGGGGGTCATTGGTCCGAGCGTTGTCCGCACTGTGTTTTATTGTTGGGAAACCAGGGTAAATAAAGAGGATATGAGACTCTGGCGAGTGATTTCATTTAGTCAGCTTCTTTTCCTGTTTTGTTTTCCTCGCCATGTCCATGTTAACCTTTTTGTGGTGTTTTATTTCTTTTGGGCAAAGAAGTTTGCACGGACTAAAATATCTTTGGGTGACTCGATCCTCCCGATGTTGTGGAACTCGCGCAGATTCATTTAAAAACAGACCCTTCCTGTGGATTCCTGTGACGTGATCTGCGCCCGGTATCCGTGTTTCCAAATGCTGCTGGCGTGCTCGGCCGTTGTCATCAAGTCATGACCAACAGTCTGTAACCTTACTGTTTGCTTTTTGGATTCCCGTTTCAATAGTGGCGTGCACGGACCCCCGGAGCAAATGCAGGTGTGGTGACAGGTGTGTGTGCGAGTGCAATACTGCTTTTGTGGCAAAGTTCCATTCGCTTTATGGGGTTTACTCCATCTGGTCAATTTATCTGTAAACAGCTTCTCAGTTTTCAAGTTGTATACAAAACCTGTGCGGTAAAATTGAATCTGTTTAGTCGATGAAACGATCAAAGCAATTGTTACGGAAAGAGAAAAGCCGTAGAGAAACCGAGGCGTGATACAAACGTACTCGTTGGCGCTGCGAGATGTGATTGTACCCTTAATGGCCGTCCTCTAATCTGTGCTACAGGTATCAGGGTGGAATTTAACGTGCGAGTTGATTGTTTACGAGCTCAAAACACCCAAACACACACAACCTTCGGCATGTTCCAGCTAAATTCCAAAATTCAACCCCACCAGGATCACTGAAACACGCAAACACAGAGCCTCCAAGGAGACAAAACTTGATCCACAAAAGTTGTTTTTCTTTGTTAGAGATGTGGGTTTTTTTTCCAATCAGGCGGTGGTCCTTCTGGCTGCCCTTTCGTTGGGCGGGTTCTGCTGTCGGGGTCGGGGGGGGGGGGGGTAGTAGGTTGCAGGGCGCTGATAAGACGAGCTGACGTCACTCCGCAGTCATCGGCCAACAATGCAGCTATTTACTCCGAGCCGGATTTGGTCCCAAAAGGCCGGCCCGGCCTCTCCCGGGCAACCGGCTTCAAACGAAAGCCGAATTCTAAACGAGGGAAGGAAAAGAGGTTTGAACGACAGCGGAGCGAGGTGAGGTCATTTCCCGGGGCAGGTGGCGTTGAGCTACCTGAGGGTGGAGGGAGGGTTGTGTTCGGTCTCGGCGTGATGACGTCACTCCCGGGAGCGGACTCCTTCGGGGTGTTTGGACAGCGACGGCCGTTCTCTTGGCTTTGGCGCCGCTCCAACGACGTTCGGGTTCCAAACGAAACAGCCGGCCGAGCGGTGGAAAAAAACGCAGAGGTTCCACTACTGGAGGCGTCGGCGTGCTCGAGCCTCGTGGGAAGAGCTTTTTGGTTGTCGACCCTTCAAACGCTCCGCACCTTTTTTCCTCAATGCCTGCCGGAGGCCCGTTGGGTAGAACTACAGATACAGAGGTAACGGAACAGATGAGTGCTCTGGGTTTGAAGCCAGGTAAAGGAGGAGTAAAGGGGGGGCGGGGAGGGTTTAAGAAATTTCTCTGGAGAATAATTGGCTCCATAGTGTCAGAAAGGCTTCATGACGGCTGACGAGTTTCTACAACCCAGTGGTGTTTTTTTGTTGTCTGTGTTTGGAGCGCTGTGTGTGTCATGTTATTCAAACTGTCGTCATCTTCTTTCTCTTCTCTCCCAGTATCACCACACACACACACACACACACACACACACACACACACACACTTAATCACACTTCCTGCTGTTGTACTTTAACAGTAATCGCCCCTCCACCTCCCTATTACAATGAAAGACTTGCGTAACATCCTCTCTGAGTTGTGTGTGTTCGTTCTCTTAATCTGTGCTAGCCTAGCATGCTAACAACTTTTATTTATTTTTTATTTTTAAAAAAAGTTATTTTTGAGCCCCACTATGCGGCCGGTTGCCGGCCGTTCGGGTTTTCTCTGATTCGACTTCACCTTGCTGGTAGTTGTGGAGCTGCACGCAGGATGAGCAGCGAGAGCTGCTGGAGGCCTCGGCGGCGCGGCGCTGCGGGCCGGGACCTGCCGAGGAATGCAGGCGGCGGGTGTTGGAGGGCCCGTGGCCCGCGGCGGAGCTACAGCGGCGCGAAGGGGCGTCCGAGCGCTCGCTCTTATCCGTTAACCAGAGACGCGCAGAGAACGCTGCCGTGCAAACGCGCCCGACGCGTTTGGACGCGTTCACCCCCCCCCCCCCCCCCCCCCGCAGTGCACCGTGAGAACCATGTTTGCCGGAAGCTCTCCGGTTTACAAAATGGAAACAACAAAGGAGCGTGTTGGTTCACTGGTGCGTGAAGGGAGGCCGACTCCCTCAGTGCCGCGTGGCTCCTTGTGACATATTTCTTATCTCCCGTCCAGGGAATCAAACCCATAAGAAGCAACTATAAATAGTGCTGTATAGAATTAGCGTGCATCTCAACTCCTCTCCTTAATCCACGGCTGCATATTGATAGTGTCTGCATCGAATTTCATGTTGCTTCCTTTCCGATTTTGTTATATGAGACTACATCTCGTCCGCGGGTTTAGTCGTAATGATGCTACTAAGTGTGTTTTCTGTCTGGTCCTCAATCCGATTAAACATTTTTCCATCTATATGAAACGTAATGTCGGGTGTAATTCTGCTTAGTCATGTCATAGCAAAGATTATATCTTTATAATAATAATAATAATAAAGGCATGAGCAGCTTAGTGTTTCAGTGAAGGAGTGACTCCTCAAAAGGCCTCATCCTGTGTGACTGTTACTGCTTACAGTAGACGTGTTCGGCCTCGTTGGCACTTTTTGAATGACAGAAAGAAAAGCTTTGAGTGGTCTGTGTGAGCGAGGTCTGTGATCTCGTCGGTCCTCGTCTCCTCCCAGCTGCTTCAGCGTAGCATCCGCCACGACGGCGCCCTGTGCTGGTGGAGGTCGGCGAGGCTGAGAGGGCCAAAAAAAAAAAGAAGTTGGTGTCATGTCTCCATGGCAACGCCCTCTCACAGCGCAGGTACCCGTGTGCAAAGGTTGCTGACGACCACACGCGCCCTAAACACGAGAAGCGGACGCAGAACAGTAAATTCATTATGTGCACTGCAAATGAAACCGTACTCACAAAGGATGAGAACACCTGTGTGTGTGTGTGTGTGTGTGTGTGTGTGTGTGATGTCATTAAGGCCACATGTCTGGACAGACCATCACTGTCTAACTGTAATACCTTCCCCTTTGTGAATATTTGACATACTGTGTGTGTGGACCTTTGCTCAGTCAGACAGCCGGCAGGTAACTTATTTACAGTGCGTCCGTGAAGAGCGCAGACAGTCGCACTTCACCCACCTGAGGCGGCCGCACAATGCGCCTAAAAATAGAGATTGCAGCCAGTGGTAAATAAAAGGAGACGGGGGGTTAAGACTTTACTCACCTCGGACGGCAGTGAAAAGCCGCCTGCATGTGTCTCAATTGGGGGGGTGATAAACGTCCCACTGTGCCGATGACTGTTTTTTGTGACACGGACTCTCTTGTTTCCGGTGCGGTGGCGCGCGGCCCTCCAGTCGAGCTGCGTGCGCTCGTGCGTTCCTTTGGCCCGTCGTGACGTCATTGCCTAGATTGTTCTACGCGTTTCCGCAGCCCGCCGGCATCTTGAGCGCCATTTGATTCAGTCTTTAATTGCATCCTGATTTTTGGCTCCCGGGGGCAGAGTCATGAAATCGGGGGTCGGCGGCGGCGGCGGCGGCGGCCCTCCAGGTACTCGGCCTATTATGCGACCCTTCAGGCCCTGACCAAAGGAACAAAAGGATCTCTCTGCTGCCCTTTATGGCCTGACGCTTGTGAGAGCATTAATGATGTTTATGGGACTGGTGGGGGAGTGAAAGCACGGCCCCCCCCTCCACCCCCTGACCGGCTCACGTGACCACTGCAACGAGCCTACAGAGGCCTTCCTGGCAGGCAGAAGGAGAGACTTATTGAGATTGGGCATTCCTCGCATTCCTGTAGCAGAGGATGGGTGGAGGGGGGAGGAGGCAGGGGAGGAAGGGAGTGAGTGTTTATGCGGGAGCGGAGAAAGTCACCATAACGATGACCGTGACAACAACTTTGTTTGTTTTTAATTTGTTGGACGTTAAAGTTATTGAGACGGTAGATTGTGATCTGTTGTGACGCTCAGCAGACGTCTCGTGTGATCTTTGCCTCGTGCTTGAACACAAGAATACTGTAGTTGTTTTTTTAGGATTTCTTCTCTCATGCTCACAGAAGCAGCCTCATGTTGAGCAATAAACCCAAACTTCAGGGTTCTGAGAAATCCATCCAGAGATCTGCTGGGGGACGTCACAGTCCTTCTTCTTTTTCTTTTTTTCTTTTTTTACGACCGCTTATCAATTCACAGATTTGGTTATTGGCCCAATAAGCCCACTGCTGTTGGCCTGCAGCTGTTCCCAGATCAGGCAGAGCTAACTTTGGGGTATGCCCCCCCAGCAAGAAACGTCATCTCTGAACAGTGAATCCACACGTCCACAGTGAATGCTCCGTCTGTTGTTTTCTCAAATTTCACCCAGAATCACACACTCATGTGATGCTTTGAGCCCCGTGCAGTCGGGTTGGCGAGTTAAACATTGACTCTCTGCCTGAGGTTTCGTCGCCGTGTGACTCGCTTCGCTTCCTGGAGGCCGATCGGCCCGCCGCGTTCTGGGAGATCTCGAGGATTTCTTATTCTTATCGCCGCCCTTTTGGAAAATGCATTCTTCATGTAAAACCCTCCGACCACCACGGTGGTTCTTGTGTGTCACTTTGTGTCGCTCCCTGATTGAGCATCGTAACCACTGGGGGGGGGAAACAGGAAGTGAACTGGCCTCTCCGTGTGCATTGCCAACCATTAACGTGCCGTGGTCATTTTTTTTTGAGTGGGGGGGGGTTCTGTTTATTCGTTTACCGTATCGCTCGGTTCACATCTTGGTTTCCATGGCGATGGCTCTTTGATGCCGCTGGTGGGGGCCCCTGTGGTCGCCCCGGGGCGCATGCCGAGGCCGGGGACCCACAGCAAATGTTTCACTAAATGTGCAGTTTATGTTCTGACTTTATTTTGTATAAAACTGTGGAAAAACCCACGATGGCATCTGATTTTTATCACACGACCAGGATACAAACTCATCCTCCAGCCAAATCCTTGTAAAACATGCTAATTGTTTGGTAGATATACTTTACCCACAGGCCAAACAACAACAAATACAACTATTGATCCAAGAACAGTCTCGCAGGACAATAAAAAAACAGCCATTTAATTTGACATTCATTTGAATGAATAGATGATCACAATGAGCGGTGATTTATTTTCAGTTTATAAACTTTTATCAATCTGCTGGTCAATTTAAATCCAGCTGTTATTGCTGCATTCAAGCTTATAATAAAGTTCACACTTGAGTTCAACATTGTGTTTGTTTCACCTACACAAATATAATTGCGTTAATCATTAAAACAACGAAGTGTACACATTGACAGACATTGTTCTTCCTAAACACAGCGAATGTATTCTGCTGCCTCATAGCGCTCACATTTCTGAGACGAGGACTTTCCCTCCATTGCGACGGGAGGTTGCAGGGAAGTTCACCTCAGATCGTATCGGAGTCTTTCTATAAAAATACTTTCTCGCCCAGACTCTCGTCGTTGTGATTTTGATATTTTCTTTCTTGCCTCCACCCGATCAGACGCCGTGTCTTCAGTCGGCCTTTTGGTCCGCTGCTCGCTGGTTCAGAGTGGAAAGGGAACTGATTCTGAGGGTGTAGTTGTTAAGAAAAGGAGGCCTCCGGGTGGGGGGGGGGGGGGGGGGGGGGGGGGTCAGGTCGGTGGTCAGACGGGGCGCACCGCACCTCCTGCTGTCTCACTTCGAATGAAGTCTGTCACTCGGACTGCTTCACACACACACGCGTCAGTTAAACAATACTCCCCCCCCCCCCCCCCCCCCCGTCCTCTCCACCCAACGGTTGTCTTATCGTGTCCTCTCGTCCATCAGATGCAGAGTCACAGCCGCTATCCAGACACCCGCAGCAAGGAGCAGAGGCCCAGGAAATAAGCCGCTTTAGGACAGGTGTGTGTGTGTGTGTGTGTGTGTGTGTGTGTGTG